ATCACCCTAAATTAATTAAAAATTAAATGTGATAGGCATATGTAATGCATCATAATATCAAATACGTTTATTCTTTATGTGCTGGAGCCCAATTTTGAGTCCAGCTGACTCATACTCACTAAAAAGTAACAAAGTAACGTTGCTCTGTGTTCCTGCCTGCAGATAATAAAATAGCCTTTGATTTTTTTTCCTTTTTTTATTTCGAATCGGCATATGTCAATAAAGTTGCGGTTGTGGTACTTTAGCATCTACCTAGCATTACAGAAGGGGAGCTAAAACAAACATATATTGTAAAAACATTCTTTTTTTCCTTTTTTTATATGACAGTTCATTTTAAATGTGACTGTTTCTGTGCTAGCTACCAGTAGCATTGTTGATCCATTTACAGGAAAATGTATGCTAACTTGACTAGCAAAGATGACCAACAAGGACAAAAGAGAAAGACATTATTAGGGTCTTGGCAAGTGACATTGGGAATGTTTGGAAGGCTTTCTGACATGTGTTGTCATAATTAATTAGTGGGTCTGTATGCACATTGTTGCTGAAGTTGTCTGGGTATGTCATGATGTTCAAAGGTTGTGTGAATAGTAGAGAATTTAATTAAGCACACCAAAGTGTATCTGTACGCACTCTTAAGTCTTTAACTCATAGAAAGACAGTCTTTTCCAGTCTTTAACATATTCCCCTTTTCTTCCATTTCATGGCTTAAATCTCAGTTTTTTCTCTTTCTATTATCAGTCGAGCTGTGTGAGATGCACATACACATACACAGTGCCCACGCTGCTGCTCCTGACCGCATGTTCTGAGACAGTCAAATCCCACCACTGCCATCTCTCTGTTGTAGCTCTCATGAAGCACCATGTAGTCAAATTAATGCAGTTGTTCTTTTCAGGTCAATAGTTAAACACATAAAAGTGCAATTGCATTTGAATGGGTACCACCGTTTTGCTTGGGGACTGCATTAACAGTGTTAAAATTGCATGCAATTCTTGTGGGAGGTGCTCAATCTACGGACCTCATAGAAAATCTAAAGTTTGTGATGCATGATGGGATGCACTTCACACTATGGAAGCCGTATTAAAGAAGTGTCATTTTAATGTGGTAGTGAATGGCTTTATTACATTTCTAAGAACTCAGATGTTGACCAGAGTGCTACAGTAGTTATCCCTACAGTGTATAAAAGTATGCATTTTTCATATCCCCGTAAGCAATAATTCTGAAGCTAAAGTTAAGCCATGGTCTTTTGCTTACTGGTGGAGGTTATATCTTAGGATACTAAAATTTGGTGTGTCAGTACTGATAAATAACGATTAATGATTTTGGATAGAAATGTGTATTGGTAATTCACTGTGATATTCATAGGGATGCTAATTTTCACAGGCAAAAACGAAATTATTAAAAATTCACTTGAAGAAACTGAACAGCCGACTCCTTTATGTTGAACAAGACTTAATAGCCACCCACTCTTTACTAAAGGTTGCTATGTTCCTCTAAACATTACAGAAAATATTTTTAAAAATCTTTATATTTACTCTTAAGTTACAAAGATACTGTATAATACAAGACTATGGAAGAATATGTTATAATGGTATGATCTCTTTCATTTGGTCCATGATGCTATTAGAGGCATAGAAGTTCCACTCTGACCTCTCTCCTGCAGGGACAAATCCCTCTCAACAAGTGTTATGTGGAAAAAACATGTACACAGTAAATTTATTTTCTCTTTCTTCTTCTGCTCTTGTATGTGAATATCTACACAATTATACAAATAAATGCACTAAAGCGAAAAAAAAAACATTGCATTTCGCTCTTACGAAAACAGACTATGCAGATAGACTACATTTCTGCATCCTCACTGCATCTCATTGACAACACTGGGGACTGTAGGGCACGGATGGAACTGCGTGGTAGCAGCAGATGATGGATTGGAGGGTAGATCACCTATTTGTAGAGCAAATGCAGAGATTTGCTGTCCTGACATCTACTGTCGGCAAGCAAGTGGCTCAAAGCACAGTGATTGACACGGCACTGGGTGGCAGCATGAGCAGTGTCTTAAAACCAGACACAGGAATTTTCCATTTGTGTGGTTTTTTTAGTTATACAGTTAGTTATACAGTTTGTACCAGACTGTAAACATGCTTATTTCTGCTACAAAGCTAAGATTCTAATGATGGGGAGTTTTCACATTTAGCATCAGCCCCAAGTGGCAGTTCCAGAAACTACTTTTTTTTTTTTTTTTTTTGCACTTTCTTGATTCCTTTTTCAGCTGTGGCAGTTGATAATACATCATATCACAATGGCAGTTTTTTATTTTTTACTTTAACAGTGTGTATGTGTTACTCCTTATTATGTTTTTACACTTAAAAATTGAAAATTAGCCCTCAAAAACCGTATAATAACAATAACTTTATAGTAACACGCAATAAAAAAACTAAGAAAAAATGGTATTTTTCACAACCTTGCACTGTTTAATAATTGTATGATTTTTATTGCATTCCATGGTACATGTTGTTGTTAGATGTTTTTGATACCATTGCCATCTCTTTTATTCTTTAGCATTCCTAAACCAGTTACTGAATATATATTTTATTTCTTCTAACGGCAGATCGGTGAATGGTGACACAGTGTAAGTGGAATTAGATAAACTGTGCAGTGCCATTCTCTACGCTTTACTTGCGAAGCATCCATTTCTCTTAGATTGATTGGAAATGAAACTATGATTGATGCGTAAAAGAAATTGCAAGGGGCCAGCTGAGTAGCACTGACATTCCCCACCCACCCCTGCTCTTACACAAAGATTGAAATTAGTGACCTTTTGATAAAGCAATCTGGTAATTTAATTGATGCTGAAGCCATGCGATGAGGATCTCATTAATAGCAAGCATGAGCCATATTTGTAAATGTTTATATATGTCAAGGGCTTTTGAGCATGCTCTTTCTGTGTGCATTTGTGTGCCTGTATGTGTATACTGCATGTCATGTCTCATCTCTTATTTTGCTGCATTTCTGCCAATCCATCTCAGGAATGCATCCTAGCAACTAATACTTCTGCTGTGATGTCCAACAGGATGTGTGCCTGAGCATTTAGCCTTGTTGACCCAGAATGCATCCTGATCTTCCCGCAGAGTTTCTCCCTACTGTTTTGATGAGCTGATAGCAACAATCGCCTGAAACCAAGCTGAAGCTCTCAGAGTCAATAAGGCAATATGTTGGAGACCCAGGGCTAAATCCCCAGTTCCACTGCTATAGGATAGAGGAAACACCTTTATCTTTTTGATTGAATACCTATCTATCTACTGTAATAGCCTGACTGTTTGAGTGTCTTCCTGAGTCTCTGGGTACCTGTCTATATTTCTAACTACTCTCTAGCTTACTGTGGTTGCTCTATTAAACAAGGGTGTTTCTCTTCCTGACACTGAAAGACAGCACAAAGTGAGACTTAAGTTAAGAATCGCAGTAAATGTGTTTCCTTGATTGGGCTGATTCAACACATGGATTTTCTTAAGTGTACAGAAAAAAGTAAAGGTATACAATAATGTAATTCTCCAACATTACAGAAGCTCGGCCAGATTTATGGGGTTTTTGTTGTCCTACATATGTCTTCATTAAGTTGTTCACTCTGCACCAATTAATTCAGCCTTACGCACTCATTAATGTGCCTTTTTTTTCTGATGATTGGTTTGCTTTTTGCCCCCCAGTCTTAATCAAACTCATCCCCACACTGCAATAAAGGGAAGAAAAAGAGAAAGAAAGCACTTAACATCATTTTGCAATTACCAGGATACATTTGTGCTGCCTTGAATATCATATTGTCTTTCTGCAATGGTTATGCAGCCTGATACTGAAGATTGCTGCACCTTTTGAAGCCTGCAGTCACACAGAGATGCTTGGAGTTGCTCTCGGGACAAGGCTGGAGGTGATTTAGGGGGGTGCATTTCAGAAATATGAGTAGTAGCTACATGAGCAAACTAATTAAGACATTTTCTCTACCCACCAAACAATCAACAACAGAATTTAACCATTGATCTCCCCCTGGCTACCAGCTGCACAGCCAGAAAATATGCAAGCCAAGCATGTATTTCTAATAAAACTAAAGCCTGCATGAGAAGGGAATGTTATTGTAATTGTTATGTAATATTTGTTTGTTAATTGTTCATATCTTGATGAGGAAGGCCATGAAATATCCTGATGGGAAATACTAAAATTGTCCTGGGCAAAGCGTCCTCAGGGAGCGAATTACAGTAAACTACAATCTAAATTCATGAACATGTCATGTCAGACTATTAATACATGTTTTGTATGCGTAGCGCATGTCTAAATGCATCACGTGTGAAAAGAATTAGACAACGAGTTAGACAGTCAGGGGAGCCACTTGTGAGAGATTTACACGTAGTGTTTGAGAGCACGACTGTTACATCTGTCCAGCTGATTTTCGTCGAAGCAGCATTTCTTTCTAGGTTACACGCACAGGGATTACCAAATATGTTTTGTCTTGTTTCATAGTTGTTGTTTTCTTTAGATAGATCACCACCACTACAAAGTGATAATAATGATGTATTTTTCTTTTGTAAGATCGGTAAACTTTAAATATTTATAATAATAATTATATATACATATTTTTCATAACCGATGTATAATTTGATGTATACATTTGATACATGTTGGCTAACAAACCAGCCAGGATGAAGATGAATACACAGAAAAAATACATGTATCTTGCTAAACTGCGGTTCAAATCGTTCTATTGTGTAAACTATTTGAATTTGAGACATGGCCTCCTCCTGGTCGAGCGATATCGCTTATGTGGTGAGAAGCAGGATTAAATTCTTCCCTAACTCCCAGCACAAATGCAGATAGATGGGGGTGGGGTGGTGGTGGCTGGGGTTGTGGGGTGGGGAATCTGTGTAGGTAATACCACTGCCACCTATTATCCAATGATTATTATTTATATGAGCCTTTGTGGGATGATATTGTATTTGGCTCGTTCTGTGTGGAGCTGGTGGGGCGCCTCATGTATGATTATGTGTCTCATCGGTTTCAGCCCTGTGTCAGTAATCTGTTTGTATGGAGATAGAGAACACACAAGCTCTATAAATAATGCAAATCTGCTACTGGGCTTCACTTCTTCTTTCCTTTTCTGCATTCAGTCTCTTTGTGCCTCTCTTTATGTGTCTCTCTCTTTCTCTTTAGCACTCTTTCTCTCTCTCATAAAAGTCAAGATTAAGCATTCTCTAAAGTCCTGCATGACGATAATCTGAACCACCCTCCGTATCCAATCATTCAACAGACAGACAAATCAATTGTCCCTATAAGCCTGATGATCATTGGTTTGACAAGTGAAAGCATTTTATGATTTGAGATACATCACATCCTTGATGAAATACAATTTTTTTTAAAAAATATATATATTAGGCCTGCTGCCCCTTACTGAGGATAAAATCCTATGGATTTAATGTTGGCCATGGGGCATAATTGATTCTATCGGCTCACAGCATAGAAGGAAAAGGATGAGAAAAACAACACAATGGGAAAAGATCAGAGGTTGTAATAACAGCAATATAACATGGCTTTGTCCTTGGTGCTTCACACCAACAGCAATCATTACATCTGTGTGACTCAAAATCAACTGTTCACCCCAAACTAATTTCTTCTCCCCAGCTAAAAGAAAAACGTAGTCCTTACGTTTTTTTAATGACTATGGCTTTAACATCATCTAGTCATGTTCTTTGTTAATTGAAAAATTAGAAGGAAAAAGTCAATCAGTTGGAAAAACATATCCAGAGAAGGGCAGCATGCTGAATTTGGTACATCCTACAGGTAAAAAGACATGAGAGCTCTTTGTATATATGTACTTAGTGTGTCCCTTATTTATTTGTTTTCTTACAGAAATCCTAAATGGAGGTGTTTATGTTGACCAAAACAAGTTCTTGTGCCATGCGGACACAATCCATTGGCAAGATATCGTCAAGTACCCAAGGATCCAACCTGTGGTGGTGCCCACCAACAGCAGTGTCACATGTAAGTAACCCAAATGGTACACATGAAGAAAATGAGAAAAAAATATTTGCAAAAGCCAAAAAAGGCACTTAAAATATATGGATATCCAGGAAAGCCCAACAAAAATCTGAATCAGTGGAAAGATGATTTCAAAAACAACGTACCTGTCCAACGTTTCCATTTTATGCTTTTCCTCTCCAAAGCATGAAGTGTAGATGCATGCAAAACATTTCAGAGAGTTGTAGTAAGCTGGAGTAACAACAGAGAGAGAGATTTTGTTTCAACCCAACGTGAAAATAATCACAGGATTTAAACAGACATTATTAGCACATTTACATGTAAACACATATTAGCCGCCTAGCTTAATTGTTTCTGGCAATTAAGGACCATGGAATGTACTTCACACATTTTTTGCTCACTACCAACTTCTTGGTTTTAAACATATTATCTCCCCCCACTGGTAATGCAACTTCTGCATGCAGTAATGCAATTTCTCCATGCATGTCCATTTCACGTTTTGTAGAAATGGACAAGATGGACTGGCGTGTCTATTACATGTTTTGCTGCGATACTGGGTTCCATCAGATGTCGGTAATAACCTATCCAATCCACACATGCAAAGAAATCAAACCATAGGATGTCCATAAATTATTTTATGTGTAATAATGAGAAATGACACAGGGGAGAACTATTGAAGAAGTAATGCATGAAGAAAGGGAGGTGTAAAAAGGCATGGAATGTCATGACACAAGCTGAAATCTATCAGTAATTAAAAAGCAATCCTGCCACTTTAGTGCAAATTAATATCAGCCGGTTATGTCCCAACTGATGGCCTATAAAAAGGTGTCTCATTACAAAGGTGTCACACAAGAAACATGATGGGTAAAACCACTGAGCTCTCTCAACACCTTTGCAACCTTATTGCTGCAGAACACACTGAAGGCAATGGTTGCAGAAGAATTTCTGAACTACTTAAAGTTCCAGTGAGCTCTGTTAGGGCCATAATCAAGACATGCTTTACCATAAACCTGGTGTAGACGACCAGGTGTGCCACAAGATTTCAGACAGAGGAGTAAATAGATTTATCAGAAGAGTTCTCCAAGAGTCAAGGGCCACTTGTAGAGAGCTACAGAAAGACATTGAATCAGCGCATGCAATTGTTTCAAAGAAAACGATAAGTAATACTCTCAGCCAACATGGCTTGTATGCAAGCTCACCATGCAAGACTCCTTTGTCGAACAAAAAAGCATGTTGAAGTGTTTTTAACGTTTGCTAAAAAAGCAATTAGACAAACCTGTGAAATACTGAGACAATATAGTCGGGTCAGAGGAGACCAAAATTGAAGTCTATGGAACATAACAACACCATAACGACAGTGTTTGGAGGTGGGAACATCATACTGCACTGGCACACTTCATATAATTGAAAGACAGATGAATAGAAAACTGTAACAAGACACAAGACATTCTTGATAAAAATCTGCTATGAATATGAAACAAGGGTGGATGTTTCAGAAAGGCAATGATCCCAAAATAAAGCTGCTAGAATGGCCCATCCAGTCACCTGAGCATATGCCGAGTATGGCCTGGAGGTCAAAATGGGACACATTCCCTAGTGTGGGTGAGAATGACCGAGCTAGATACAGAAAGACAAACTGGTGATGGCTAACCAGCCGGACATAGTGGTGGTGGACAAGCAGAAGAAGACTGCCGTAGTGATAGATGTATCTATACCGACTGACAGCAACATCAGGAAAAAGGAATATGAGAAGCTGGAAAAGTACCATGGGCTGAGAGAAGCGCTTGAGAAGATGTGGAGGGTGAAGGGAACATGGTCCCTTTTTTTGTGTGTGGGTGTGTGTGTTTGTGTGCATTCTGTTGTTTTATGTATGTAATACACTTTTATACATTGAGTTAGTTACTGTTGCCCAATACCTTATTTCAAAGTTTTACCAATCAAACTTTTACCAAATAGGCGTTGTTGTTTTTTTTTTTTTAGTTTATTTATGGTATATATTTAAGGTACATTTAGTTTTGCAACTGATAGACAGTTTTTACCCTTTTAAACAACCTAATAATAATAATAATAATAATAATAATAATCATAATCATAATCTTTAATTTCTCTCACCTGTCATTTAATTTATTTCTTGATTTAAAAAAAAAAAGTAGCTGAGACAGTGTACCCTGATAATGAGGGTAGCAGATGACTACAGATGCATTGGCTCAATTGCTTAAACAAACTTGAATGAAGTCACGGCCACTCTACCTGGCAGTTTCTGTAACTCAAATTTGCAGGAATTTGTGCTAATTCTGAATTAGTCTTTAAAAATGTCTTTTCACAATTATTCCCCACACACTTGCCAAGGTTTTTGACAAAGGAAAGGATCCAGAGGAGGCCCATTATCACAACCTGGTCGATTCACAATAAATGGCTGAATGTGAGCAGCAAAACACTGTCATCACAAAATCACCCTTTGACCCTATTCTGTCACCCTGCTTACCATAACAATTCACAATGACTGCTAGCTCACATCACTTAAATGTCCTTCTGTAGCCAGCTGGAAGACCCGTTAATAAATGCATAGCATTATGATGGGATTTATTAGTGTGAAATACACATACTCAATCTGTCAGAGGACAGGGGATGATCAGTGAAATAACAATGCATTTACTGATCTCCTCTGACCCATTATTATTAATTTGCTGACTAAACCTCTTAGCATACTCGTTTCTTTTTGTTTTTAATTAACATTAATTCCTCATGCTTTTTGACATTTAAATCCAATGTTGTTTTCACGTTTTTTTTTTTCAAACTGTCTCATCTCATTCATTTACAAATGGAAACAAATAAACAAATGATAAAATACGCTATCACTGACTCTGATATAAACAAACAGACTTTTCCTTTTTGATGCATATGTCCTTGGAATCATCTCATAGTACTAGCTGAGGGCTTCAGATGCATGCTAAAAGCTCCAAGCATTGATATTCTGCTCAATCACCCTCCTCCCTGCAGCCCTGTTAGCCCTTGATCGACCCCGACTCCTTTGCAAGTCTTCCACCCTCGCTGAAAGATCAAGGGTCTGCAAACTTGTAATCCACAATTGAGAACATAATCTCTGTTTCATTTTTTGCGGCGACACAAGCTTCATGTTGTTTTGCTTGTGACTTATTTGTGCCATGGTTGTGTTGTGTTATTGGTTTCAAAATAGGACTGTGATCTTTTTTTCTGTTTTTTTTTTAAACTGATGCCCTGTTGATTTTGTTTAAACACCTCCATCTTTCGCTTGCTGTACACTGACGCTGGTATGGCAGCAGTTTCAACATTTTAACCTTCAGGGGATGTTAAAGATTACGGTGCATTCCGGGAAAGGGGGTTTGACGGTCTTATACAAGGTCATTGAGGATTTAGAAGCTGAGATAGTGAAGGCCATGGTCACTGAATGAAAACTCTTTGACTTGACTTCCTGGGGCACATAGCACGGAGAAGAACAAAGAATTAAGGAAGAACAGCAGAAGTTCTGCCTGTATGGCTGGCGGACATTTGTATTAATATCCCATTTGTATACTGCTTTCATACAGACAAAGCTGCCAGCCTTTCTCTCAAATTTTACTAAATTGTCAGTTCAATAGGGATACACTGGAGAAACAGAAAAAAATAGAGAAATGTAGTGGTTTAAGAAAAAAGGGACAGGAATAGGCACTAAGGGAAAGAGAGCTACAGAGGAGTGATGAATCTATAAGTGATGGATGAAGAGAAAAATGTGTAGTAGATAGGCTCAAAAATGAGGAAGAAGAAGAGGACAGAAGATGGAGATTCTCATGTTGAGCAATGGAGTCAGTCGGATGCTAATAGCTCTCATCTGGAGAGGCTGATGGACAGAGGACAGCACTTCTGCACTTATCCAGACTCACTTCTCCCAGCAGTCAATTACTAGACAGTCAATTAAGTCCTCCAAAAACCCAGAAAGGCACTGGCTAAAGCTCTGAGGGTATGATGCTGCTTACCGCTCCTTTACTGCTTTTATCTCAACCCGATGTGTGCTGGCTTCATGCTGGGCTGGTTTAGCGTGAAGTGGCAAAAAGAATCATCTCATTTTCCCAAAATAACCTGTGCCAAGGTTATTTTGGATTTTATTACCACAACAGCATATATCAGTCAAGGAAGATGGATCTTTCCTGCCTTAAAATATATATGTATAAAAAAAAACAATGTTGAGAATTCAAAGGTTTTTTTCTTAACTCTTAAGATTGTATCAGTTAAATGTAGTATCATCGTCATATTAATGAAATTAACTGCTGCATGCTACTTGCAGTACCTACAGTTCAATGATTACAATCATAATTGCAGTGATGGCAATAACTTTAATTATTTGGTGCCTTTAAAGAGTTTTTGTATAAAGAGTTTACAAACTGCTCTGGCAGACAAGCATAAGCAGGACTCAAACAGAAAAGAAGGACCAAGAGACAAAAATAAAAAGAAGAACATTAGGACAAATTGCACAATTGTATCCCTAAAAAATACCAATAAAGGGATTTGAAGGAAGTCAGTGAACATTAAAATCTGAAAATCCAGGAAGAAGTTGAGCTGTTGCATAACTAGGTGAGAAAGACACTATTGTGGTATAACAGAAGAAAGACTTGTTCCAAGTTTTAAAAAGGTCACAATTGCTCAGTGTGAGCAAACAGAATGCACCTATGCATGCATATCCAAAGAAAAACATACAAATAGTTATTAAGTGAATTCAAAGTTAAACCACATGATCCTCCATAGTTTTGTTCACTATGTGAGTTTGGTTTGCCTTTGGTTGAGTGCTTGAAGACAAACTCCAGCAGCAATTCTCTGGTCTGTTTTAAGGTTGAATGACACTGACAATAGTTTGTGAAGTTGCAGTTTGAAATGCCAATAGTCTCTTTCCTTGAACCTCTGTGCAGGTCAAAAATGCCACCGTTCCTGCAATGGTCGTTGCTGGGGACCCAAAGAGGACCAGTGCCAAAGCTGTAAGTTAATTATTATTATCTGATTAGAACTTCGAGTTGTTAGAATCACCACTGAGTGACTTTTGCATGCATCAAAACTTTACTGATAACTGTTGTGGGTCAAAAATAAAATTTAGCATATCTTTAGCATACCTGGCAATGTACTTGGAACGAGATTCCAAGCTTTATTTAGTGGATATACCTTTGGATGTCATTTATGTATACATCCATGTGACTCCATCTAAGGCAGGGGTCTCAAACTCCAGGACTCGAGGGCCGGTATCCTGCAGGTTTTAGATGTGTCCTTGATCCAACACAGCTGATTCAAATGGCTAAATTACCTCCTCAACATGTCTTGAAGTTCTCCGGAGGCCTGGTAATGAACTAATCATTTGATTCAGGTGTGTTGACCCAGGGTGAGATCTAAAACCTGCAGGACACCGGCACTCGAGGCCTGGAGTTCGAGACCCCTGATCTAAGGTGATGTGGGTTTTTCCCAAGTTTATTGGATTTTCATGAAAGAGTTTTTACTAATATGCAGTGTGTTACATGCCACTGTATTCTGTTCCACTGAACTGCCAATAATACATTCTGGTCAACCCATAATGAAACTCAGCTGGATATAAAGATAGTTTGTTTATAGTTATAAAATCAAGCTATTGCATATAACAGGGGTAGGCAACTCCAGGCCTCGAGTGCCGGTATCCTGCAGGTTTTTAATCTCACCCTGGGTCAACACACCTGAATCAAATGATAAGTTCATTACCAGGCCTCTGGAGAACTTCAAGACATGTTTGAGGAGGTAATTTATCCATTTAAATCAGCTGTGTTGGATCAAGGACATCTAAAACTTGCAGGACACCGGCCCTCGAGGCCTGGAGTTGCCTACCCCTGGCATATAAAATAATAAAAATAAAAGCCATGTTCTTACTCTATTTTTATTTTGTGTGTGTGTATATGTGCGTGTATGTGAACAGTGTTATGAACTGTGAGACTTGTTACTGCAGCATCTTTCAGTTTGAAAACAGGAAATGAAAGTGCCATTTTTGTAAATGACAAATCTCTTATTCTTGAATTAAAGTTGAGTCATCTGTTTGATTGGGCAAATTTCACTAAATCACAATATCAACTTTGAGACATTAGACACTAGGCCAAAAACAATTTTCCAAATAATCAAAGACTTTTATCTTTTTGCTCACTTGTTGATATTTTGCATTTATTTTGTTTGGTTTATACTAGTCATAAAAAGAAATGCAACTTTGTGTTAAAGTATAGACTGTATTGACGAACACTGTAATATGTGTGTAGATAGATATATTAGCTGGGGACAACCATAACCATAATGTTATGTAGTTTCACAGGCAAAATTACAAAAATAGTTTAGGCAGCCTGTTTGATACATGGGTGACAAAGGGTTAAGTCTTTAGTTTAACCCAGGGGTCTCAAACTCCAGTCCTCGAGGGCCGGTGTCCTGAAACTTTTCCATGTGTCCCTGTTGCAACACAAATTAATAAAATTAGTAGGTCATCAGCAAGAGTATAGAACTTGACTGCATGCTGGATTGGTAACTCCTAAGTAAATGTAAATGTTTGGAAAAATGTACTTCTAAAAGTACTTTTATTGCACCATGATCATTCACTGATGAACTGCTGTAACATGAATGAAATGGCTGAATTGTCACCGCAGCATGCAGTCAAGTTCTATAGAGTCTTGCTGATGACCTGCTAACTGTATTCAGGTGTGTTGCAACAGGGACACATGAAAAAGTTTCAGGACACCGGCCCTCGAGGACTGGAGTTCGAGACCCCTGTTTTAATCTATGAAAAATACCATAATATAAAGAAATTTTTTTAGACCATCGAGGTAATTCCTAAAGTGCAAAAACCTGGCATGTCTTTAGCATGGTGTGCAGTGTGTTCTTAAATAGAAAAAAACTTGAGGAAACTGGACAAGTGGAGGACAAAAGAAGCGGTAGGTCTAAAAAAGCAGATGAAAAGTATCAGAAAGTCATGTCCCAAGAAATATATTTAAAAAAACAAAAAAAACCCAGCAAAGACCTCATAGAGGACCTGAGAGGAGAGGACCATCAAGCCCTTCAGTAGAACCATCTACTGTTCACCGAAGCCTCTTTAGAAATGGTCTAAGTGAAAGAATGGCTGTCAAGAAGCTAGTCATAATCAAGAGAAACAGGGAAAAAGGCAGAGGTATGCCAGATTACACAAGAGCTGCACTGAAAATCAGTGGCAACAGGTGTTTATGGAAATAAGAGGCAGGATTGAGCACAGTAGTTTGTAAGCATATTACTCGCAAACTAAGCGCAACTCCATGCTGCCTCTGTGGAAACGGGACATGAGAATATCACCAATAAATTTGCATCTAAAATTATATTTGAATTCCATAAAGTGAAGGTTTTCCTGCTTGTTGCCCCAAAGGGATGACATCAGATTTTTCTTTTGGGTTTTTTTGCTGTTGAAAGTCATCATTTCTTTTGAGGAGACTGTATGCTCTCCAAATTAACACACATGATATTCTGGTATTTTAATGAACACAATGCAAAGGAATTTTAGCCTCAAAAATGTATAATCAACAGATCAGATCAAAATAATCAAAACAGGGATGCTCTTTAGATCATTCTGTCAAGCAGAAAGTGTGATGTGGCTTTGACTGGTATTAAATAGACGTCGTTACACGGATTTTATTAGTACTGCTGGTTGGAAATTTAAAAATCAGACAAATCTTCTGTGTTAACCTTATTAAAGATCATTAATACAAAAATCCTAGATTCAAGGACAAAAAACAACATCATCTACATTCACTGATTAAATTACTTGCAGTCTACAAAAGGAAAAACATTTTACACAAGGCTGTGATGAGTGGTTGTTTCTTGTCTTCACCTATGAGGAAAGCTCTTATTTTAAACCGGATCATTAAAAGATAACAAAAGTTTCACTGTGATGCAAATGATGTGTGACAGCCTAACAGCAAGTAGTGAAACAGGAACAGCAACAATCCCTCCATTTTAACATTGTTCTACAGTTCTGAAAAATACAAAACAAGGTTTTTTAGAAAAAAATATTTGGAGAATGTTGTAAGAGAGGGTCCGTCACATATTTTCTGATGATGATTCCCGCACCTCAGGCATGGGGAGTGCTGTTTAGGTTGGGAACCGGTAATGATTGTGATGTTAATGATGGTTTTGGCTCTAATACCTGTCAGGAAAAGCAATTCTTAATTGTCTACAACATGTTTCTGACAAGGCATAGCCTCATCTAGATGTGATGCAAGCCGTCACCCATCTGTGCATGGACTGCACAAGTGTTTAGATCTGCTGTTGAGGAATTGCTCTCCATTCCTGGATGAGTGCAGCCTGCAGCTGTGTAATGCTCACTGGTTGTGGCTGCATTTGAAGAAATATTGGGTTTAAATGCTGGCCAAGCAAGTGTCTGGATATGCTCCTGATCCAGAAAGGCCTTAACTACCCTGGCAGTGTGAAGGTTGGCTTTGTCCTGCTGAAACAGCCACGGGGCTGGGATCCTGCTGCAAGAATTGCACAAATGCATGTTGGAGTATTTCATTTTTACTCTATCCAGTCAAATGTTGACCAAGTCGACCAATAGGCAGATCAGAAATCGTTGTCTCATGGACATGAAAGGCTACAGCAACAGCTAAGTCATGCATGCCAGCATCCAGCATCTGGTCTCATTCAAATTTAGTCAGTAGCAGCACGGCAGCACTGACGACAATGTTGTGCATATTCTGATGCTTCAGAATGCAATTAACTTAACGAGTTCTGAGGTGTTCGGTAAACATTGGCTAGAGAGAGAGATTGGCTAATGCAACATGCTTATGCCTACACAAGTAAACATCAAATAAGGCCATTCCTAAGTATAGTTATAGTTACAATATTGGTTGCCCCAAAAACATTAAATCATTTTTTAATAATAAAATTAATTTTAAAAAAATTATATTTTTACTAATACTAAAGAATTATTTTGTTACAATTGCATTGTTTTCCAGCATGGTTCAGTGTAACTGTGCTTAAATTAATTAGGTGTCATAAAATGGTAATTTTTAAGGCTGCACTTTTGTTAATAGTTAGCTCTACAAGCCCTCTTCACAGCCCACAGTGGCTCACCCTTCCGTCTGTGTTTAACACATACTAACATCCACAGGAAGACTTCATATTTAGTATATTTTTGACCTATAGCAAACTGTATGTACACATTTAGTTTTAGTCAGAAACAAAATTATGTACTCACATGGACACATGCTCACATTTCTTTCCTCATTACATACCTCTTTACCTCTCACGTTCCTTTTTTTTTAATTGTACCACCCTTCATCAAGTTCTTGCTCTTTGTCCATCACTTCGTACTTAGACCACTTCATCTATGCCTTCCAACCCTGGCATGTCACATCTTATAAATTCTGTGGTTGTGATCTCGTTAAGATAATGAGGAATGAACTGTTTGACCAGAACCTGTTAACAACACGTCACAGAGGAGGCCCAGATAAGCCCTGGCCCCATCTATCTGCCTTGTTTCAGCTGTGATCGCGCCATCTGTCTATCCTCATCCATTTATTTGTGGATGCCATGATTCATCTTTTATTTTACTTGCTTTCAAAAAAGAAGAGCTTTTTTTCTTGCACTGGAATGCTTTTAATTATGAAGTTTAATTATGACGAACCAAATACACCGAGGAAGTAAATTACAATTCAAAACCACTCTCTTTACTGAGTCTCTCACATAAAAAACTGGATCTCTGTCAGCAGAGGTAGTTTTTTTCCATAGAAGTACATGTTATGTTCTATAAAAGGATACAGGATAAAGTACTCACACCTGCTCTAAACGAAACAGCAATTTTTATTAGTTGTACCACTGGCTGCAGAGATCGCAACTGACAAGTTCTGTGGTCCTTGATAATAACAGATGACATCAGACCCTTTGAACTGGGTGGTGATTGTGGTATAATATATATATATATATGTGTGTGTGTGCGTGTGTGTGTGTGCGTGTGTGTGTGTGTGTGTGTGTCTGTGTGTGCACTGCGTGAAATGCAAAGAGGAAGTTTTGCTCCATCTTTCCCATGTTAAATTGCATCAAAATAAACTTCTGGACCTTCGAAACACACAAAATAGAAACACTGTGAGACTACAAGTGGTGAATATCTCAGATCTATCAGCTCATAGATAAAAAAAAAGAAGCGTATCTATTCACAAACATCCCATGATGAAGGTGTTTATTCATTTCAGTTTATTCATCATAGCCTTATCACTACATCTAGTTAATGAGGCATTTTTGAAATGCAAATAATTTCAAAAATACGGCATTAACAAGGGTATTAATTAGCAAATAAAGACTTATACTTGTCAAATTAAGCACACTATTTATCATTGATATGTTTTCCCTTTGCTTTAAGAAGTCATTTCACTTTCAACATTGGGAATCACTGTAACTGATATGCAATTGAATTGACCTCCTGTGTCAAACTGCTACCTTTTAACTGTAAAGTTTTGAGCCATTGCGCTGTAAGGCAAACATTTGATCTATAGACATTCATTCCCTATTTAAATAAAGTTACACTTAAGAATAAATTGAAACATTAACTGAATATTTTGTCTTAGAAAAAGACAGGTGTTGAGAACCAGATGTGCCCAATAATAATAATAATAATAATAATAATAATAATAATAAATTCACAGGGGAACTCAGAGGCATTGGTTCCTGTGAGTGATGTCTGTAATTTGATTTGTTTTGTTTTTTGTCTTTAGTTATTCTTAACCTCCTAAGACCTGAACTCTTCCACGGCATGCATTTTTAATTTCTCATTGATATTTGGTCACATTGGGGCCCGATTTTTTTTTTTTTTACCTTATTTTTGTTTTTAATAAAAATAAGAGCCACATATGAGGATATTCATTTAAAATTGTGATAGAACAGTAGCAGTATAATGTCCTCATAAGTGGATATCAGGCCCTTGTAGAGCAAAATTTAGTATTTTGGTCTAAATAACCCAAAATGTGATGTCCACATATGTGGACGCCAGGTCCTAGGAGGTTAAAGTGGATTTTTAAAGCCAAATTGACAAACATAATTGTGTCCGTCTCTGGCAATGTGGCTTGGTCATTATTTTGACAAAGTGTCTTTTGAATAAAGCAGACCATATCAATGCAGGCCAGGCACTGTTAATTGAATGGTACTGATGGTAAATCAGTAGCTTTCCACTCAGTAGCATGAGTGTGTGTGTCTGTGTGTCCATGTTTGTTTGGCGACTTGTCCATAGCTTTTATCTATCATGGTGATGGTGTCCTGTCAACACAAGGCTGCAGGGAAACATAACACAGATCAAAAAAACAATGGCCCTGCTCAAAACAAAAATAAGCACCACCAATAGATGTGTAATGGTGTACAATAGTAGCCTTACGTTCCCCAGTAATATTTACTGTTGCAATTTACTTTCTTTGTTTCAGTTCTGACCAGTTCGCTTTAACCTTTATCACCAAATATATTCTTAAAATGACATTGAATTTTATTCTTATTACAAGCTTTTGTTGTTTGTGTTCAGTTAACGCTGGCTCCACGTCGTCGAGCATCTTTCACCTCATACAACCAAAAGCCATAGCTGTCACTAATTACCAACATGACTGAGTATAAAAAGAACAGAGAGCCTCAGTCATTTAGAAGTAAAAGTAAATATGATAACAACAAAATTATGCAAATAGTTTAATTTGTAATTACAGTACATCCATTTATCCAAACCACTATGTATAATATCTTTTTTTAACCCACCCCAATACTTTATCTTGTGCCAACTTTACTGGTTCATCCATAACTGCTTAGTTATGTATTCCTGCTCTATAATGAAAGTCCCACTGCTGACACTTAAGCTATGTCAATTACCAGCTGTCTTTACCTGTGAAATAGCAGGGTCCTATGTACATTTATATATGGCTGTCAAGAAGAAAGGCACACAGACTTGCGGCCGCCCATATGATTGCAAAGGTGGACAGATGTTCACTTTGGTAGTACATTCAGATAAGAATCGCTATGTCTTTGTCGCACTGAGCCAGACAGCAGACGAGAGCAGAGATGAAAACATGATTGAAGATAGCTAGTAGGTGGTAAAAAGAACTTCTGCTTCAGCTGAACTCACCAGACACAGACACATGTAAAAACATGTGTATGCATGCATTTTACAAAGCAATAGATGGTAGGTAGGTTAGTATAGTATATATAACTTCCAGAGCAGATGATGAAGTTGAAGTTACCCCCCCCCCACCTCTCAAAGGTTTTACAGTGACAACTTTCCAGTGACTGGGCTTTAATTTTTTTATCTTCACCTGCCATTTGAACTGGCTAGACAGACACATTCTAAGACTGTGTTGTGTTTACATTCTATATATGTATGCATAAAGTACGTGTATTATATATACATTTTATCCTTTGTTTGTGTCTCTCTCTTTTTAACATGCCTGTAACTTCAAAGTAACTAAGACAGTGTGTGCGGAGCAGTGTGACGGCCGTTGCTTTGGTCCCTTTGTTAGTGACTGCTGCCACCGTGAGTGTGCAGGTGGCTGTTATGGCCCAAAGGACACAGACTGCTTTGTAAGTGAACACACACACACATACACACACTTTACATCATTACGGTGTGACAAAAGAGGTTAAAGTGATCATTTTCCTGGTGATATTACCATGTCAATATGGTTACGCAGATAACATTTTGTGTTAACACTTTGTTTTACGTTTCTCTTCTTCTTCTTCTTTTTTTTGGTTTCTTAAGTCTGACACATTTTACTTGTGACTTTTTCCTTCCTTCAATTTCAGGTACCTCTTAAAATGGATTTCACTCAGTTTTTAAATGCCACTTGTATGGCAAATATCATTTGATGACATTTAATTCTCTTTTCTTCCTGACATGAGTGTCATTGTTAAATATAGACTTCACCGGGAACTCTTCATTCTGACTTTTTGCCATGTGCTTTATCACTTTTATCTGTGCTTGTTTGCATGTTAAACTTGTTTCTGAGGCTGTGAGTCCGTGGCTAATCGAGCTCTTCTTCCTGGCTTTGGAAAAGCAAGTTCTGTATCATAATTTTTTATTCTTCTGTTCTCTTCACAATCATCATAAAATTGAGAAAATGGCAAGGTAAATTCTTGATTGAATCCTGGCAAATTCAAAGTCTTTAGACGCAAGAATTTATTTCTATATTATTATCATAGATAACATTAAATGTGTACAAGTATATGTTTTTTAGGGTCTGCAATCACATATAGAATAAGTACATGTCTTAGTACAGGGATATTCAATTAAAATTTAAGGAGGTCCAGTCAGAGAAAATTTCCTCAAGCAAACATCCAGAAAATCAAGTTCCACATGCATTATAATTACGTAGCCTAACAGTTGTACCAGTGTGTGCATATAGTCAACCTCTGGGTGTAAAGTAAAACAAAGTATAATTAAATTCATCAGTATTTCAATCATATTTGTTATAAATTTTTACAATGGACTGGCAGGTACTGCAATAACAAAATAATAATGAAGTCGAGGTGAAAAGCATTTCAGTGTGTGTTAACACAATGCTAAATAGGAAAGACATCAGTAATGAGCTTAGAGAAGCAATTGTTGCTGCCCAATCTGGAAACGGACAACTCCATCAGCCTACAGTGACAAAAATTGTTCATTCAAGTAGGAAACACTTAAGAAAGTTATTCATCTTCCCAAGGTCAAAAGTCCAAGAGTTACATCTCAGACTCTACAGGCCTCAGTTAGCAGGTTACATGTTAAAGTTCCCATTGCTACGGGCCATTCAGTCCTTATACGAACATTGCAAGAGCTTAGTCCGCATAGCTGGCAATAAGTCGGACTCGTTCCCGGTGGGTGATGGGCTCCGCCAGGGCTGCTCTTTGTCACCGATTCTGTTCATAATTTTTATGGACAGAATTTCTAGGTGTAGCCAAGTGGTGGGAGGCTTTCACTTCGGTGGTCTCAGGATCTCATCTCTGCTTTTCGCAGATGATGTGGTCCTGTTGGCTTCATCAGGTGATGGACCTCCAGCTCGCCTGGAACGGTTCGCAGCCGAGTGTGAAGCGTGGGAATGAGAATCAGCACCTCCAAATACTGAGGCCATGGTCCTCAGCCGGAAAAGGGTGGAGTGCCCACTCCGGGTCAGGGACGAGACCCTGCCCCAAGTGGAGGAGTTTAAGTATCTCAGGGTCTTGTTCACGAGTGATGGGAGAAGGGATTGGGAGACAGACAGATTGGTGCAGCGACTGCAGTGATGCGGATGCTGGCCCGGTCTGTTGTGGTGAAGAGAGAGCTGAGTGTACAAGTGAAGCTCTCAATTTACCGGTTGATCTACGCCCCTACCCTCACCTATGGTCACGAGCTGTGGGTAGTGACCGAAAAAAACGAGATCGCGAATACAAGCGGCAGAAATGGGTTTCCTCCGAAGGGTGGCTGGTCTCTCCCTTAGACATAGGGTGAGAAGTTCGGCCAAGTTCGGGAGTAGAGCCGTTGCTCCTCCACATCGAAATGAGCCAGCTGAGGTGGTTCAGGCATCTGACAAGGATGCCCCCCTGGGCGCCTCCTGGGTTGGTTTTCCGGGCATGTCCCACCGGGTGGAGGCCCCGGGCAGACCCAGGACACGCTGGAGAGATTATATCTCTCGGCTGGCCTGAGAACACCTTGGCGTTCCCCCGGATAAGGTGGAGGAGGTGGCTGGGGAGAGGGAGGTCTGGGCTTCTCTGCTTGGCTTTGACCCGGCCCCGGATAAGCAGAAGAAAATGGATGGATGTTAAAGTCAACAGCAATTGCATAACTAAAAATGACTGAACAAGTATAGGTTGTTTGGAAAGATGCCAGGAGAAAGCCTTTTCTCTTTAAAAAGAACAATGCTGTATAGCTTGGGCGGGCAAATTTGTATCTTAACAAACGTTAACAAACAAGACTTTTGGTCATTTTGGGACACACAAGATTAAAGTTGCAATGTGTGGCCATAGTGACACATTTGCGACCGTGGCTCAGGGGGTTGGGAAACGCATCTGTAACCGGAAGGTCGCCGGTTCAATCCCCGGGCTCTCTGTCCTGGTCGTTGTGTCCTTGGGCAAGACACTTTACCCTACCCTACTGGTGTCAGAGGCGATGGCGCGATATGGCAGCCTCGCTTCTGTCAGTCTGCCCCAGGGCAGCTGTGGCTACAACCGTAGCTACCTCCACCAGTGTGTGAATGCGAGAGTGAATGAATAGTGGCACTGTAAAGCGCTTTGGGTGCCTTGAAAAGCGCTATATAAATCCAATCCATTTATATAAATCCAACTCTTCTGTATTTTGTTAAGTCATATGTCAAGTTGTCTGCGTCGTGGCTACAGCTTAGTCCAAATTGGATCGTACAACAAGACTGTGATGGGAAGTACAGCAAATCTAAAAATTAATAGTTGGAAAAGAAAACGATCAAGGTATTCCAATGGCCCAGTCAAAGTCCGGAGCTCAACCTGACTAAAATTCTGTAGTTTAACTTTTTTAAAAAGAATCAAGCAAAATACGATTTCTGTATCTACTTTTTTCCACTCCAGCTTGATTTTTCTTAGTAAACTTAAACTGATTGTAATATCATTGGGTGCATGCTGATAGTCTCCATCTCCACCTTTCAGTAATATCACTACTGGACACTGAAAGGAAATTGCAATACAAACCTGGGGTCAGGCTGGCAGCAGTTATGAATAAACGTGAAACCAGATTTTGGCCACACAATCAAAAGTAACCTAATCTGTGACTGTGTACGCATCATGTAAATATACTACTACCACTACAAGTATTAGTACTATTACTACAACTACTACTGCTAATAATACTTATGTGGATGTTTGCAGGCCTGCACCAACTTTAATGACAGTGGGGCATGTGTGACCCAGTGCCCTCAGCCATTTGTCTACAACCCTACCACCTTCCAGCTGGAGCATAACCCTAGGGCAAAGTACACCTATGGAGCTTTCTGCGTCAAGAAGTGTCCACGTAAGTCTGACCACCTGGACAAACACAAACATACATACATACATACACACACAGACAAACACACCCACACACACACAAACATGGATACTCCACATACATGCATACTGCTTTAAACATTAATCTTAAGTCATAACCTCTACATAGCTACACTTTAAGTACTAATTTAATGGGAGGGTTTCAGTTCACTGTGGATAATTACACCTGCATCTATGTGCAATCCATCAGCTGATTTCCTTGGTCTTCGAGACCCACAAGCAGGAGGAATGGACAGTAGCAATGCCTGTTATGTTCTTTATAACCCTCATTTGCATTGGACTGGAAGATAAATGCAGCTGCTTCTTGAATTGCATTTACTCCTTAGGTTTCTCATAACTTTCTCATTACTGCTGGTAGATCATTTTTAGGGCAAATACTAGCAACATAAATATAGCTTGTCTCTTTCCTAAAATAGTCTTTATGTGTGTGTGAGCGTGACTATGTCTGTGAGGATGAATTTGACTTTTACAGTTTTGTAAAAGCGACATTTTGCAAAGGACTTTTATTTTAATTTCAGCAAATGGCTGTTTAAAAGTAAAACTTGTATAAAGTTTTGTGTTAGGAGTAGAAAAAGTCAAGTTACATCATTAAGTTTTAAAGTTTAGGTCAGAATAAGAGGCATGGGATGTATTTGTTAGGCTGGGTTCTCACATTTGTACGTTCTTTTTTCTTTTAAGTCCAGTCCAATTGACATAACTGCCATTGTATGTATAAGTTGGCAGTCCAGGATGTACATAGCCTCTCACCCTGTGAAAGCTGGTTTACGTTCCAGCATCCCCACGACCCTAAATTAGATAAGTGGCTAAGAAGATGGATGGATGGCTGACTTGCTACACTGTTACACTTCTTGGGGGTACATAAATGGTCAATGGTCGTTCCAACATGTCATCTTGACAAGCAGTCTTGTTTGCAAAGCCAGTACAGGTGACGGGGAAGTAGAGGCCTGCGTCTGCACTAGCAGCATAGCTCTTCTCACTCCTGTGTATAATGTTTAGTCATTTTATTCATAAATTATTCTTTGGCCACTGCTAACCACAACCTAGTCACTCACCACACCCACAACTAATTGTGGACACCCCATGCTGTTCAAAACATCACTGAAAAGGCCAACCAGCAGGGAGGGAAGAGGAGCTCTGCGCTTCAAGGCATTGTTACTTTTAAACAGACACAGGATAGAGAATAATATAAACATTTAACTGTTTACTGTTATGAAAGTATGCAGCTTTTTTATTTTGGTAGTTTTTCACATAAATCCTATGCAAAATAAGTAAATAAATAACCAAATAAATAAATAAAAATGATGGTGAGGCAAAGTCACTTTCAAAGTCACTTTCAGCACTTTTTTTATGTGATTGCCTACACTCCACTGCCACTTATTGTTCTGTATGTTCCAGTGTGACAAACAGCAGCCATCTGTATTTGACATTTACAATGAATTGTTTTCCAGATAACTTTGTGGTAGACCACAGCTCCTGTGTGAGAGCATGCCCCAGTAACAAGATGGAGGTGGAGGAGAATCGCATTAAGATGTGCATCCCTTGTACTGACATCTGTCCAAAAGGTAAAATTCAAACATATAGTTGCAGCAGATAATTACTGAATGTTTGCCTCCATCGATTTAGCTATTTTATTATTAACACTATATAGTTGTATGTATGCACTGTTGTCAGTTTCACTATTGGGTTTATTTTGGCAAATGCAGGAAAAGTACATGTTGTCCTGATTGCATCAAACCCCTAATCTACCTCGTATTTTGCATGTTTGCACCATTGAATTAATTGATGCAATTTTTTCTCTTCACGGTTTCACTGTGTTTCTTTCAGCATGTGATGGGATAGGCACAGCAAGCCTACAGACTGCTCAGACAGTGGACTCCAACAACATTGACAAGTTTGTCAACTGCACCAAAATCAATGGCAACCTGGTGTTCCTCATTACTGGAATCAAAGGGTGAGAGCTGAGAAGATTCAGCTTATCGGAATGACTGAAGACAGTGTGGGAGAAAAAAAATCTGCCTAAATATAAAATTGCTTTTCCCATTCCATTCAGCCTTTCTGTATTCAGCTGAGCGAGCACTGAGCATTCACAGTGGATTGTTGAAAAAGAGCCCACAGGTAGTGCACACTCCACTGAAGTTGGAAGTAACTAAAAGTAAAAATCGCAGCTGCTAGTCCACTGTGACCATTTTAGCCTTCAACTAGACTAAGTGTGCACCTGTTGGTCTCATAGCATAGATGGTGTGTTTAATTTGGGTCACCTGGCATACAGATTGGGGGATTGATTCAATTATTAATTAAGATAGATGATACTCTTCAGCTAGCACACAAGTGAACATCCATGATGGACACATTTAGAGTATGTGTGCTTAACAGATGTTAGTTTAGAGTGGCTAAGTGTGACCTCTGTGCAAAGATCTCTCCGGGGCTGTGTCAGCTTCTCCACCGCTGTACCTCCTGACTGCTTCCTTCCTTTTATTCTCAGTCTCCTTTATTGAGTTGTTCTCTCAATAATCAGAAACTTTGTTTTTGACTCAAAATTGCAATTTGAAATAAAACTGATTATAATACTTGTGAAAATATGGTATTTTAAATACCATCGAGCTATTAACAGTGTGTTACAGATTGAATCAAACTGTTAATTGGATGGATTAATCTGAATAATGTTAGTGGTTAGTTATGTCTGCATGGATATACAGTACTATTTGTTTGCATTCATTCATATGTATTTAATATAGTTCACTTAAAATATCCCAATCAGGTATTCTCAGTACACATACATGATTTACCTCTTCAGCTGGTAAATGTAGCAAACTTTTCTTACCTGTAAGTAAGAAAATTTCCTGTAAGTATCGCATTTTTGTTGTACATGTACAATGACAATAAAGGACTATTTTATTCTATTCTAAGTAGGTATATCCTTTACACATACAGATGGAAATACTAAAACACATTCTTTTTTTCTTTTACTTGATTTGTTTTTGTCATTCTGATCTCTCTTTTTATTCACAGGGATGTCTATCATAACATTGAAGCGTTGGACCCGGAAAAACTCAACGTGTTCCGCACCGTTCGGGAAATTACAGGTAAGTATATAAGTTGCACTGCATTGGTCTTATACGTGTATGTATTTAAAGAAAGAACAAATGCTTACTCTTACTGTCATCTCTTTTCTTGAACAGGAAAGTTTCACATCAATGCTTATAAATACTTCCATGTATCAGCATATGTGTATTTCTTCAAGTCCTCCCCTCCTCTTGAGAATGTCCAAACCAAGGACAGGCCTTGCAGAATAAGATGAATATCATATGAGTCTTTCAGTCTCCTCTTTCTCTCTACTGCTTCTCCCTCAGGGAGTCCCTAGCCTTGAGTCCCACAGCCCCAGCTCTCCCTTCACGCACCATGAAGAAAAGAGCCAGAACATGCGGTGCACATCGTTAATCCCCCAGCTCTCCATGCCACCTCCACTTTTTAGCTGCGTGTACACTGTCATCCTTCCAGCCCCAAAATTTGACAATGCCATCAGAAGAACACATCATATCTCTGATGTCATATTTTCAAAAGCAATAGGAAAATATTCTCGTAAAATATCAGTGCTGCTATTTAGCCATGAATGACAAAAGCAGATGTCTTATTAAACAGTGTGTCCCTTTCATCTGAACACCACTTATTTATTTAGGATTACATCAGTTATATTTTTTTTAAAAGAAAAGAAAATTGTGAAGTATCTAAGATGTGTCTTGGATACTTTACTTTCTACATAACCTGTAGCAGTTATAATAATAAATATCGTTATACCTAATGGCAGTTACTCTTAAAAGCTAATATGGGGGGTAATAAACATACACAATCAAGTGCCAACATACATGTAGTAGTAATAGCAGTTTTCCTACTTGTTCACAATCCAAATCATGTTTTTGAGCTGCGACCACCATCTGTCTATATAATCTAAATGTGATCAACCACTCTGATAGAAAAAAGAGTTGTATTGTTGCAGTTCAAAAGCAAACTTAAAAGGAAAGATTTAGAAATGAAATGCTGCAGACAAAATAGCATTTTTATTATTGCGCTTTCCTTAATGGAAACTGACAACTGATGTCAGTTACAACTAATATTTAAGCCTGCTCAAAGGGAAAAAAGGAAGGATTATAGTGAGTTAGGAAAGCAAGTTAAACTAGCGCAGCTGTTTTTCATTTGATAGAGTGAATTATCCATTAACACCATTGGGGCCATTTTGATACCCGCTCCTCGACATGCTGAAGTGTCTTCAGGCAAGACGCTGAACTCAGTTGATTGAAACCTTTGCATCTGAACTCTTTGTATCTTCTAAGGTATATAAATCTCTGTATAAGTCCAGTTGTTTACTCTTTAAACTGACTTAGATATATTCCAAAACTTGACTTCGAAGTCATTTTGTTTTCTTGCTTTTCCTCTCTGATGGTTAGTGATGACAGTTTGAATGCAGGTGATGAAGCATAAACCAGCAGCCATGTGGTCAGACACGTGTGTCATCTCAGCTTGTCATTTCTCTGAGCTGGCAGAAGAACGTGACTTTTTACAAAAGCAGGCAACCTGCATCCATGACCCCAAGGTCACAGCTAGCGTTGCTCTGGCTTTCAAATGAGCTCTGTAGTAGGACAGCTTTCATCATCCACACCAGCACACGCATCTTTCTGTCTCAAATCAAATTCTGATCCATTATGTTTTTGTCTTTTCGGTGGCTTCTTACCAGGTCAGGATTTACCCAAAGTGTGGGTGTAGCTAGCACGATTCAGCATAAGTGGGTTTCTCGGTGTTGTGACTCAGAATGTAATCACTACAACTTAAGCGCTCTTAACCTTTGCTTATGAGCTCATGGCCTTCTTGTCCAAGTGGTTCCACATTTTAATTCACTATGCACATTGGTGTGCTGCTGATGTGGCTCCCAGCAGAGCATACACTCCTGATAAGTGATCTTTCCATGTGCATGAAAATTCACATGAAAACACAAAAAAATACAAGCGCTAGCATAATGTTGCACACAAAATTTTTGTTGACTTGCTTTTTGGCATTGATCTTTCTATCTAGTGAGGTTCCACAATCTGTCTGAAAGGATCAGGCCTACACTTAAGGGATGGCTGTAGCTCAGGTGGCAGAGCAGGTCAGCCACTAATCAGAAGGCCGGTGGTTCGATCCCAGGCTGCCTCCTGGCTGCATGCCAAATATCCTTGGGCAAGATACTAACCCCATGTTTGCCTACTGGTGGTCAGAGCACCTGGTGGTGCCAGTGTCCGGCAGCCTCGCCCCTGTCAGTGCGCCCCAGTGCAGCTGTGGCTACAATGTAGTTTGCCATCACCAGTGTGTGAATGGGTGAATGACTGAATGTAGTGTAAAGTGCTTTGGGGTCCTTAGGGACTGAGTAAAGCGCTATACAAATGCAGGCCATTTACACTTTTCCCCTATGAAGGGCCTCATGGACCGCTCCTATGTGATTGTTGATAGTGATGCAAATGCACATTAAGGCATCTAGCACAACTTAGAAACAAATTAGCTACAAAGACTTAAATCAGTTCAGTTAATTTCAGTTATTATTAATGCCAATCAGCAACAACAGTTACCTCAAGGAAGTTGAACCTCTGAATTGATAACTTGTGTAATCTATTCTCGTCGCTCTTCACTGGAAGATCTATTATGAAGTTTGCCTGAAGTGTAAATGTGAAGTGTGTAGAGACCTGCAGGATATTTAATGTGTATATAGTTAGATTGTTCCAAAAATGCATTGTGACCATTTATTCTGCACAGACTTTAGGAAGCATGTACAATACAATACAATACTGGTGTATTTTTACATGTGATACACAAACTATATAGACTTAGACCTTTTATTGTCATTGTACAGTTGCTTGCACAATGAAATTATGTAAAAATTTCTATGTAACAATTTATATACATATACAGACTGCATTACATGTCTTTGTTGCTGTATTCGTATGTAGCAGGGCACTGAACAGTCATTCTAGCTACCTTTCCAGTCACCTTTAGAATTGTACTACTTTTTTTGTAGCTTAGCAGCTCAGTGCTCGCCATGTTTATTAGCATTATTGTCTCTTTTACTACACCGTGAAAGTTACTATTACTTGACAGTACAATAACACAATTGCGGAAACCTACTCTTTCTAGAGTGTCTCTCTGCTTGGACAAAGACTGTTTATTTATTTATTTTAACCTTTCTTATCAACAATCTTCACCCACTTTCTGATGATAGCAAATACAGATAGCAAACGTTCGCTGCTATCACATCCCTACATTGGAACAGACAGGAAAGATTTCAACAGGCAGTAGACTGCTATTGTAAGTAGAGAACACCCAAAGCCCTCTGAAATAGCACCGTGCCAGAACAGCGAGGTGCCTCAGCACTGCAGGTTTTGTCATTAAGACAATTAGTGTTGACAAGTACAGCGCTAACGATTCTATAGAACTGCTGCCTCTGGGCTAAGAGGCACTCACAGCATCATAAACTGCACATCATGAGAATCAAGATGGACAAATACCAAAAGTGCAATTACCTTTTACAAACCGCAATTCCCCAGCAATATATTTGACATTCTGTGCGAATACCTCATAATGGTTTATATAATGGAAAAAATTCCTCTTTTATCCTAATGACTGCCATTATGCTCTCATTAAAGGTTCACTTTAAAAAAAAAAAGGGCTATATGTGTAAATGACATAAAATGTTAAAATGTTTTTTCCATTTTGGGAAGTTGCATCTTTTTGGATGCAACTGCAATAAAAAATCATGCATGATTCCTCACCTGTTTTGGACATTTCCCAACCAAGCATTAGTAATAAGCATGTATTGAGACCCCGTCACTACTCAGACTGGATGCACTTTGTCTTTTGTCATCAAGCCAAGCGTGGCATTGTGTTGCCACAAGCTCTACTTACCTTTCTCTGCCATTCCTCCCTTCCCCGACCAACAAAATTATGCATCCTGTGGGAAGAACTCACACTGTCTAGCATAATAGAGTCTGATACTGTTTATTGACTGGAGTATTGCATGTTTAGCTTTTAAAACATGCCATTATATTTGTCTAGACTTTCCTTCCACCTCCTTCTCCTCCCCTCTTACCTCTGCTCTTCTACCCACTGTGGATTTTTCTTTGGTCTCGTAGCCTCTGTTGTTTGTCCTCTGGTGTTGGCTTGGGGATTGTAGTCCCCTACTGTTTTTTCTAATAAATATTTCATATTTCTGAATCTATTATTAAAAATCCTAAATGAGCCATGGCCATTTTCTCAGCTTTTGATTTTATCTCCTAAATTATTTAACAGTTGACAGGGAAATAAAGGAAATGCAAAAATATTGATAAGTCAGACTTGTTATAGCTGGCACCAAACTCCTCTGTGGCATTGCTGTGCCAGACATTTATCTGGCTTAGAAGTGCTTGGCTGATTTCAGATGAGGCTCAGGTGGTGCGGTTGCATTGTTGTGTTTCTGGAATGTTGCTAATTCTAGAGAGAGGCCGGTTCTCTCTGCTCATTTTCTTCTTGTCACTGTGGAAATGGACAGTGTGATAGACAGGTGATTCTGGTCTGTCAGTACTCATGTGGATTTATAACCTATGTTCATCCCTGTCTTCATTTAGGTTTTCTAAACATTCAGTCATGGCCTGACAACATGACAGACTTGGGTGTTTTCTCCAACCTGGCTACTATTGGGGGAAGAGCATTGTACAGGTACCTGAGTGCATAATACCTTCACAAATTCTTTTTCTTTCTTTCTTTTGTATTTTGTTTTTTGATTGTTGGGAATAGTTTATGCCAAGTTGTTTCACAAATGTCTCAATCAGAGCACGGTTCTTCTAAATCAATGGCAAGCAGGAAAATTTGTGGTTTTAGATTTATTTTTAGCTAATTGTAGCGAACAATCTCTGAAGCCACAGCTCACTGGAAAACTGAAATGAAGGAATGAAAGAAGGAGCCGATAACAGTAAATTTAGAGTATTTCATTGTGCTGTGTTTTTATTATTATTACTTCTTATAATTAATTTCTATTCTCTTTTTTATGTTAAGCACTTTGAGTTAAGTTTGATTATTTCCTGTTCTATACAAATAAAGTTTATTATTATCAGTAGACTCATTTCTATTCCTTTTTGCTATTGGTATGGAGGGGCTGTACACATATTGTATGTATATGAACACATAGATAATATTTACACTACACAGCTTATCTCACAGATGTAAATTCGCATGCATTGTTGCAAACTGCTGTGGTTTAAAGAAGATCGGAAAGACGAGGTTACAGTCACAATCAAACGTCTCTACCTCTGGTTATATATTTAAACCATTTTAATGCAAACTGAAAGTGGATCCGGTTTTGTTGGATAGCCTTATCTGGATTAGTGCTATGCATGTTAATGTGTGAAGTGTAATTTTTTTTGTTACTACTTAAAACATGACTTTCTAAAGACAGCTTAATTATTTAACCTAAATTATAGCACTTAATTATTCATCATTTAGATTATTTTTTTTCTTAATTTGGAAAACATGCAATAAAAATGTAGCGGGATTTGGATGTAATCAAAGCGAGTGTCTGCTGATAAAGTGTAGACTGTGAGATTCAGTGTGTTTTTGTGTGTGTGTGTCCCTAGGCGTGCGTGTGAGAGTGTGTGCATGTGCACTGCACCTGCCTGCAGATGGAAACAGCAGGCTGCAGTACAAATTATAGCCTGCCACCCACCCCTGCCCCGTGCTTGATCCTGCATACTCTCTGTCTATCTGATGGTTCTGACACCCACTGGCATCCTGTCATTTTTAAACCATGCAAGTGGGACATATCAGGATAGCTGGGGGTAGGAAGAAAAAAGAGAGAGAGCCTAGCAGACAGAATGATTAAAACACATGTTCTAAGTTGCGTTGTTGCAACATAGGACGATGTGATCTCATAAAAACACAGTGTATTCTTCTTGAAATTATGATTCAGTGATAGAATTAATGTTGACTAATGAGATCACAGTTGAGATGACTGGTAGACCGCTATGATGTTTAAACAGCATTTCTACCAAGCCTGTGAAATGATTCCATCTTCTCTCTTCCCTTTCTTTTCCTCTTTTGTCCCTGCGCCACATCATTTCTTCTCCTCCTGCTCCTCTGACCTTCTTTCCTTTGCTGTCGGCTCCGTCTTCCTCTCACCTCCACCTATTCTTACCTCTCAGTGGGATCTCTCTGCTGGTGTTGAAGCAGCCGGGGATCACATCACTTCAGCTTCAGTCTCTGAGAGAGATCAGTGCTGGGAATGTCCACATTGCAGAGAACAGCCAGCTTTGCTACTATAACACCGTCAATTGGACAAGACTGTTCCGTACTACAAACCAAAAGGTTCTTATTCGCAACAACCGAAGTCCACAGGAATGCTGTAAGTTGATGCCACAATCATTCTAAACATCTAAATAATAAATATTTGGTCAACTTTGCACTAAAAAAATGATCATATCTCATGAGTTGCTCTACCAAAACAAAAATAAATGATCAAAAATGATCAACAACCTTCACCTTGCTTTGAATGTTATCAGAGGCTATTTAGATTGTATATGTACTTATAAAGAGCTATAACAGCAAAAGAAGAAAATAGTCATCTGAACAGAAATAAAACAGAAATAAAACTTCTGCAGATTTTCAACAATGCCATTCTTGGCATATACTCGAAAGATGGCGCGGCCACGTCCAGACGCCTTCCTTACCGCTCCGCTCCGACTATCCACTTTTCTTGTTTTTTACTTATTTTTTGCTCTGGTTTAGGCCACATTTCACTGTGTGTTATACTTGTATAACTGTGCATGTGACAAATAAAGAACCTTGAACCCTATTTACTTTTTCTTTTTTTTACCGATCTAATGAATTTGATGTACTGCAATATATTTTACCACTGTTCTATAGGTCCCTCTTCCACTTACAACACAACTCAAAGCGCATTGACACTTTTAAAGAAAACTTTAAGTTAAAGTTTTTAGTTCTTTGCCCACAGCAACACCTTTCTACCAAGTTTCATGGTAGTTGGTTTGCTCTTTTTGTCACCTCCTAGTATTTGGGAAAAAAAAGCTACAGAAAATATACCAGTTGCTATATTGTGCTGCACTGTATGATACAATTATTTAGTTGCAAATTTGCTAAATATCCAATATAAACTTTTAAAAAACTAAAAAAGGTAAATTATGTTTGTATGTCCACAAAAAATAAGTAGCAAACCTGTCCAGTCATAGTTTAACGACTTATGTTAAAACATTATATATGTATGCATTTGTTAGGGAAATCTACCACAAGAGCAGATCTTTGTGCTGCAGCTTTTGAACAGCTATGAAAACAAAGACATTGTATGAAAATTATGTTTTAACCTCTGATTCTGGATATCCTCTGGTAGCAGGACATATTTGAGTCATTATAATGTGCTAAATGACCTCTGTGTTGTACAACCGTGATACATTTGCATATTTTAGCTGTTAATTTAACACTCACTGTCTAGCCTCAGGCACCATCAAGAGTACGCTTTTTTTTTCTCAAACATGTTCATATTTAAAACAGGTTGTACACTAAAGAAAGGAACGAATCTACTCAACATTTCTTGTAGTATAGATTTAAAAGAAGTTTGAATTGTCGAACTAACAAGAAACCAACAGACAAAATTCTGCTTTCTAAGTTATCACCCAGCCTTCATAACAAAGGCATTTGTTTTAAAGGAGCTATTGTAGTGGCCATTCATAGTAAGGTTTTGAGGCTTGTCTGTCTTATGAATGGTACCCATTATCTCACTAGCTTCTGAAGGACACTAAAAACAATAATTCAATAATTAAACAAATTAACATCAGGGTCATTCCGAGAGTGCAAGGTTTAGAAAAATGAAATTAGGCAAATAACTGATGTGGTGAGATAAAGATTGCATTTCTAAAAATGGAAGAGCTTTATTATATCACTGCCACAAGTGTTAAGACATTATTCATTTATGTATAATGTTCATTAATGAGCCAGTATTTGCATTATTGAGTTGGCCCCTTTTCACTGTTCATGTGCTCCTTTCCCCTTGGCACTTCCTTACTGTTGAACACACACACACAGACAGATACACACACACACGCACACACACTTTAGAGTCTTTGAAGACTTTGGGTTAGTTTCAAGAGTCACATACTTGACATGGTTCTGCATGTGTGCATCAGAGTGCGCGTGTTTGTGTGTCTAAAGTTGACTGAGCCTCATGGGGCTAGAAAAGGGCAGCTATCACACTGTTACAGTGCAGCAAAGAGTATTCTTGTGAATATGCATGCGGTTGTAGCGATTTAAGTAGTTGCTGAAACCTGAAACTAAGACATCTAGTTTTCATAGTAGTTGGAATAGAGATTTAGTGTGTACTAGCATGTAAAACAAGTAATATATTCATGCTATATGGTATTAAAACACAGTTGTGATGGCTTTTTAACCATAATTTTTCTTTGAATTTGTTGACTTTTTACATATTACATTTTGGCATAGCCTCATCAATAAGATATCAATAATAACCCAGGATTGTATGGAAATGTTATATATATATATATATATATATATATATATATATATATATATATAGATAATATATAGATATAATATATAGATATATATATAATATATATATATATAGATATATAGATATAGATATATAATAGATATATATATATAGATAGATATAGATATAGATATATAGATATATAGATAGATAGATATATAGATATAGATAGATAGATAGATAGATATATGATAAGATAGATAGATAATAGATAGAAGATAGATATGATAGTAGATAATATATGAGAGAGAGAGAGATAGGGACAGTTTTCAGTTAATATTTTTCAGACTGTATTAATTATTTTATACATATTTAGCATCAAAAGTTTATCTCACCTCATTGTGACACAGTTAAATGAAATATCCCTGGTTTGTTTCTGCACTATTTTACATGCGCGTACAGTAAAGAAAGAAAACAGCAAAGCAGAAATGTTGTGGTTCTTGTGTAAATATGATTTTCATTGTGCTCACTGAATTTGCATATTTTATAATACTTTAAGAGACTGTCAGTAGCACCAGCGCTTTTTATGCAAGTCAAAATACTGTGAAAGGGGCACACATATGAATCAGTGTAATTTTCCCCACAGCTCTGATTTTCTCACAGCAAAATTTGGATAAAAAGCTGCAGGAAATACTCCCACTGATGGAAACAAATGTACTCTGATGATGTTAGAAATGTAGTTACTTCACTGAGAGAAGTCACTGGTTGCCATTGTAATAATGCTCTATTAACAAAATGTAAAATAGTACAATTATAGATCCGTTTGGTTACCTCAGTGGAACACATACATGTTGTTTGAGAAAATAGTCAACACAGAGTCTCTCATATTGGCTCATTATTTAATTACACTATTAACTAAACAGTAAATGGCCTTTTTTAAAATACAGAACTATTTTTTTCACCTATGTTGCATGTGAAAAGGATCCCTCCTCCGACTCCCCCTCTACTCTCTTTAGCCTTTTCACAGACCGCCCCTGAAATGTTAATACAGAAAAGAGAGGTCCCCAAAACTGGAGGCACTAATTCCAGTCTAGTTCCAGCTAAATCTCTCCCCTCAGTCGTGCTAATCAGCACTGTTCAGGGACAGGTTTTTTTAATCTTTATTTATTTCTTCTGATGTTTTCTTTCTTTCTTTTCTCTGCCCTTATAATAATTGTAATCATAGCCTGAACTTTTGTCTTCTTTCAGTCTCAAAAACGCTCCTGCCAGGGCTTTTGTTAGTCAGCCATGTCAGAAACATCTGAAGTTAAGATATGTTTTTGATCTTGTTGTATAGTTAAAAAGCCATGCAACCACCACTTCCCCTTGTTTATATCTTGCACCAATCATTCTTCCTTTTCCTCATTTATTTCTGCCTGGTCAGTTTACCTATGAGGCTAGAAGCATGAAAGAAGTGGTTTTGTCTCTTGCGAAAGACTTTCATCCGCTTTTCTTTATGTATCTGCATCTTTTTGGCTGAATTTTTATTTTTATTTGGAATAAAGCTGTGGCTATGACACTATGGCATAGTCATTGGCTTGCATGTAGCCAGGTTCCCAAAAACAGCAAGGGACCCTTTTGCAACCATGTTCTGTAACCACTGGCTATCGAGAAAAGAAGAGAAGAGAAAGAGAAAACCTACAAGGGGGGAAATCACGTCAGATGCAGGCGGGATGATAAAAGTTCACAGTGTATCTGTAGCGCCGTCACCGCGTTACTTCAACACTCATTTTGTCACTGTAATGTTCTGAAATGTAGCAACCTCTGTACAACTGAGTGCTAGAGGGGGACAAGAGAGAGACAGAAAGAGATAAGAGATCCAGGCCATTATAGAGCAGATGTAATGGCCTGAGTCAGTCGGTGCTATATGAAAAACATTGAGGCAGAAACACAGAACAGATTGTTCACTACGAATAAAATGAGAGAAAGGGGCATTTTCTTTACATGACTGAGTGCAGCAAAGTATATCAGACTTACAAGTTTAACATTTGTATCTTTGTATCACAGGTGGTTTTTAGTATTGCTTTACATGGCTATCCAAACAACACTTGTTTGTGCTGTAAATGTCACGCTAAGCACTTTTGCACTGAAACCAGATACTATTGCTACGTAAAACAACTTCATAATATACAATCATAGTATTCAGTAGCTGTATATTTGATTGCCCTTTCAAATTGAAAGGCTTAAATCCTTAAAATGACTTTTTCTTTAATTATTTGTAAGGTTTTGTTAACTCGACTAGTCTGGCATCTGCATGTGCTTCCTGTATCTCACTCTTCATTGTTTGCACAGCAATTTTACAATGAAGCAACCCAGCCTTCTACTTTTCTAATTGCACCATATCAGTCAGTACTGTAGACACACTGAGCATGCAGGCCATTTATATTAATAGAGAACATATAGTATACACTAAAAACGAAGTGCCAACCACGTCCTCTGATGAATTGAGTTAATTAATGTGATGTTTTTAAAAAGTTTCTGGGATACATGAGAGCGTTTTTGTGGGAGGAACTAGGTCGTCTTTTAGTTCATCCAGGAGGATAATTATTCTGTCACTCTGTAGTGTACAGCGTATTGTTTGACACTTTCTTGTTTACCGCTTTATCCCAGAGCACGTGTTTCAAACGCACACCTTTTTCTTGTGTCTTGCTGCAATTACTCTTGCCATTGTTTAGGAAAGAAGTCCCCAGAAGAAGAAGAAGGAAAAAAAGCTAGCTTTTATAGGCCAAGAAAATGAACATCTGCTCTGTGGAGGCGGAGAAATTTAATGCAAAAATAAGCCTTCGCAAATTGCAAGCGCCTTAGTAAATCTAGTTCTGTGTCTTTTCATAAATAATAGGATTATTTGGCTAATTTTATACCCAGCTAATTTGGGGGAATTTAGGGTTTATTCATTGCGTCTGACACTGAGTCATCAAAGCTCAGCTGCATGCTACATGAGTATAATCCTTTGCCTTCTTTGTTTATATGTGTATTAAGCAGCCAAGGAGCACATGGTGTGTGACCCGCTGTGTTCAGATGCTGGATGTTGGGGTCCCGGCCCAGACCAATGCCTGTCCTGCCGATATTTCAGTCGTGGACGAACGTGTGTAGAATCCTGCAATCTCTATGAGGGGTGAGTCCTGAATATGCTTGCACATATATATTCAGATATAGTGCTGATAAGAAGATGGAGGTGGATGGATGGTTTGTGGCTGAGTTTAATTGTTGCTACTGGACTGACTCAGAGAAAGCAGATGTGGCATTGTTCGTATATACAGAAGTTTATATGTTGTCCTCGAAAACCTGCTTGACAACAACAACAACAACAACAAACAGACAAACAAACAAAAAAATATATAAGGAAAGCAGTGTCTGCTATATTATGTCAGCTTATGTAAGTAAAATAAATATTCAGCTTTTTTATTATAACAAGTAACAGTAAAGCAGACAAAATACGACCAAACAAGTTACATTGTTACAGCTAGGCCAGCATCAGCATGACAACACTGATAAAAAAGTCTTTTATAATCAGTGACACTTATGACAAAACTTAGGTTTGTATTCTTCACCCTTAGACTTTGCTTGATCAGGATGTGTTTACCACCAAAGTTTACTTAATTTTGTTAAGGTGCCAAACACATCTTTCTGCTGTTGTGGTCTATAAAAGTCTCCACGAATGCTTAGTTAATGATTACTCTTCAGCTTCTTGACAGTAAAATGGGCTAGAACACCACAGAAACACAGTCACTCTCTGGGAATTTTCATAAGTTAGGCAAAAAGAACAGCATCAATAGCCCTTTTTATTCTTAAGTGTGTTCGAGCCCCTAAGAGCCATAACTCTCTTAGATTGTGCCAAAACAGACACGCTGTATGGTAAATGGGTCATATGAGTGCCACATCAAAACGTTGATCTAACATCAGAATGCTCTCATGAGTGTCATGTACGGTCCTTTACTCATACAGTTGTAGCAACAGATAATGATTGTCATGTCACCAACGTGAGGCTTTTGACATGACGGGTATCTGTGTGGCAAAATGTAGCTACTTAAAAAAGTAAAGGAAATATATTACCCTGTTACTGCCAAGAGGGGATTTATTTAACTTGAACATATTTATGAACAAAATGAAACATGCTCACAACAACTAGGTGAGAAAAATTTGTTTCGTTTTGTTCACTGCCCTCTGAAGTGTCTTTTATTTTCTTGGTTCATTATCTTCCAAGAAAAGCTTTTAAAGATGGCCCCAAACTCGCAGATTAAACAGCATGACAAGCAGTTTATTTTGTGTTTTATCAGTTCTTAAAGAAAAACAAAAGTTTTTTTCCAATAGATTTTTGTCCAGATTATATTTCTGAGCAAGAGAATATAATAGCATGTTCCAGGGATAGTTTATTACCTTATTCAACAGGAGGCCAGTCAGTAGGCGCACGTGACATCTGCTGGCAAAATCATCTGAGAATATAGCTCGGCTTTAATGCTACTGAAGTCAGCAATGGCTGGAGCATGCTGCATGCCTCTAAATATACGATTAATCAAATGCATCAGCAACTACCGAATGATCTTATAAATACTATGAATAAATGCAGTTTTAATTTGAGTTATTGATTTTTTTATGCTTTTTTTCATTAGTCTTATTTAATGAAATACATTGTGACATATAAAACATTTTGTGACATTAAAACAGTCCTCTATTTTTAAGACCTGCTACGCCATCTGCTCATCAAAACTTTACCTGAACAGCCCGTGGCGCTTTCATTTTCGAGTTAAGCAGTACTGTTCTGTTTACTGGGGATGATATTAAGAGCCAGGGGGTGAAAAGAACAATTTAAAATGTGGTGCTAATTTTTAGTTTAAAAGGCACCCCTGCAGAGTGTCATAACAATAGAGGTCCCCTGACTTTAAAAGAATATATCTTGATGCTATCTACCTCCTAATGAAAGATCTGCTCCCCCAGGGAGTTTTATTAATGAAATTTTAGATGTTTTTACCCTGCAGAACAGCTGGGATGATGCTTTTAAGTTCTGTCCCAACTTGATCAGAAAAGTTTGGTGGCCACATTGGAGAGGACAGAGGAGGACGAGGAGGTGTTGCTCGGGCAGGGGGGCTAGGCGTGTCACTGCGTGTCACAGTCACTGCTTGCGCACGGGGCCACGCCCTGCCTACCTGTCCACCTGCACGTCAGCGTCACCTACACCATCAGCGTCACCAACACCAGCACATTCACCAAACCCAATAATTTTGTGAATGCAGTCCAAACCCTTTGCCATATCCGCACAAGCACAGCGCTTTCCGTAGTTCCCGTATTTTATGTTAACACTGGTGGTCCTTTTATTTTTATCTGAACAGCATGTATCAGTCCAATCAAATGGCCTTTTGTGGTTTAAGTGCATGTTGTTGCAATTTTCTTGGGTTCTTGTGGCTCAGGAGACAGAGCGGGTCATCTACCGATCGGTTCAATCACCGCTTCAGCTCCAGCATCCTTGGGCCAGATACTGTTTTGCTCCTGATGCATTCATCAGAGTTGTTAGATAGCAATCACTTATACAGGGAGTGCAGAATTATTAGGCAAGTTGTATTTTTGAGGAATAATTTTATTTTTGAACAACAACCATGTTCTCAATGAACCCAAAAAACTCATTAATATCAAAGCTGAATGTTTTTGGAAGTAGTTTTTAGTTTGTTTTTAGTTTTAGCTATTTTAGGGGGATATCTGTGTGTGCAGGTGACTATTACTGTGCATAATTATTAGGCAACTTAACAAAAAACAAATATATACCCATTTCAATTATTTATTTTTACCAGTGAAACCAATATAACATCTCCACATTCACAAATATACATTTCTGACATTCAAAAACAAAACAAAAACAAATCAGCGACCAATATAGCCACCTTTCTTTGCAAGGACACTCAAAAGCCTGCCATCCATGGATTCTGTCAGTGTTTTGATCTGTTCACCATCAACATTGCGTGCAGCAGCAACCACAGCCTCCCAGACACTGTTCAGAGAGGTGTACTGTTTTCCCTCCTTGTAAATCTCACATTTGATGATGGACCACAGGTTCTCAATGGGGTTCAGATCAGGTGAACAAGGAGGCCATGTCATTAGTTTTTCTTCTTTTATACCCTTTCTTGCCAGCCACGCTGTGGAGTACTTGGACGCGTGTGATGGAGCATTGTCCTGCATGAAAATCATGTTTTTCTTGAAGGATGCAGACTTCTTCCTGTACCACTGCTTGAAGAAGGTGTCTTCCAGAAACTGGCAGTAGGACTGGGAGTTGAGCTTGACTCCATCCTCAACCCGAAAAGGCCCCACAAGCTCATCTTTGATGATACCAGCCCAAACCAGTACTCCACCTCCACCTTGCTGGCGTCTGAGTCGGACTGGAGCTCTCTGCCCTTTACCAATCCAGCCACGGGCCCATCCATCTGGCCCATCAAGACTCACTCTCATTTCATCAGTCCATAAAACCTTAGAAAAACCAGTCTTGAGATATTTCTTGGCCCAGTCTTGACGTTTCAGCTTGTGTGTCTTGTTCAGTGGTGGTCGTCTTTCAGCCTTTCTTACCTTGGCCATGTCTCTGAGTATTGCACACCTTGTGCTTTTGGGCACTCCAGTGATGTTGCAGCTCTGAAATATGGCCAAACTGGTGGCAAGTGGCATCTTGGCAGCTGCACGCTTGACTTTTCTCAGTTCATGGGCAGTTATTTTGCGCCTTGGTTTTTCCACACGCTTCTTGCGACCCTGTTGACTATTTTGAATGAAACGCTTGATTGTTCGATGATCACGCTTCAGAAGCTTTGCAATTTTGAGACTGCTGCATCCCTCTGCAAGATATCTCACTATTTTTGACTTTTCTGAGCCTGTCAAGTCCTTCTTTTGACCCATTTTGCCAAAGGAAAGGACGTTGCCTAATAATTATGCACACCTGATATAGGGTGTTGATGTCATTAGACCACACCCCTTCTCATTACAGAGATGCACATCACCTAATATGCTTAATTGGTAGTAGGCTTTCGAGCCTATACAGCTTGGAGTAAGACAACATGCATGAAGAGGATGATGTGGACAAAATACTCATTTGCCTAATAATTCTGCACTCCCTGTACATAGAAAAAAGTGCTTGTATGAATTTGTGTGTGAACGGGTGAATGAGACATGTTAAATAAACACTATGAGTGCTGAAGAAGAGTAGAAAAACGATATATAAGAATCAGTCAATTTACCATTTACCAGACATGATCATTGTGAGGTTCAAGTACCTTATCAAGGGCAATTTCTTAGAGTTTCTACAAAATGTAAATAAACTAAAATCAAATTAAACAGGAACACTATTTATTTTCATTCACTTGAAGTGTATTGCTTTTTCTTTCCCTATAACAAACAGAAAATAAAAGGAATACAGCAAATACAGGAAAACATATCATACCAGAACATTATGCAATGCCCTATAAACCGTAAGTATCCATGATATCTTCCAGCTACATTTCAGCCTTTATTATCCCAAACAGCATGCGCTCCGACAAAAGCTTACCTTCCTTGCCTCTTGGAAGGTTTTATGAAGGCCGATGAAGCATAATTAATAGTAATATGATTTCGTTCCCACTGGGTTAGCAAAATGTTTTTCTATAGCCAAGAACATTCTGTGTTTCCTCACTGGCCAAAAAAAGTACCCCAATTTAATTTTCTTCTCCTGTAGTGACGAAGGCAAAGTGCCAACTTAGTAGCAGTTTGGTCAAATTTAATGCCTTTTTCTAGGCCACTCCGGTGTTGCGCAATTATAAAGGGATTGGAGAAAGTGAACAACAAGACACTTTATTTGATTGATTTTTGAAAATGCAGCACCCCTCCCAGGTCCTGAACCTTTTAACAGCACTGACCCCCTGAGTGCTGGTTTCAGTATTAAGGATAGCTAACAGGTAATAATGCTCTCACAAAAAATACAATATTGTTACTGTCTTACTACTTATGATGCACAATATTCTCGTGCTCCTCAGAAGCATATTTGAATTGTTTAAACAGCCCTGTTCACTTTCTATATTAAGAATACATGTATGAACATAATGATTTGATCTGCCTTAAAATTGTTGTATGTAATAGAAAACTTACCGGCCCAAGACAGGTCAAAGAGTCACCGTCAGCTCTTTCACACTGGGCATCACACTCTACGCACACTGACCCATTGGCATATTCTCGAATATCCCTGACAGAAATGGAGAAAAGTGAGAGAAAGAGTCAGTCTGATGGATGACAAGAGAAAGACAAACATTAATTTGAAACAAGTTGGGGCCAAGAGCAATAATATACTATAATATACTATATTATAGTATGTAATATACACACACACACACACACACACACACACACACACACACACACACACACATAAACATACATACAACTGTGATACCCAT